AAATAATAAAAATGCTTCTGATCATAGTTTTTTATTAAGTTAAGCTATCTTACATTTCTAATAAAAGTTGTAGAGAAAATCTTTATGATTCTAATTGTGGTTAAATCATCAAAATTGGCCTAGTAGTTCATGAGATATGATCAAAAGATTTTTCCCAATTGTATAAAATCTCTTTAAAAATTGGAAAGAATTCTTTTAATCATATCTTATAAACTACTAGGCCAATTTTGATAATTTAACCAATATTAGAATTATAAAGATCTTCTCAACAACTTTTATTAGCAATATAAGATAGGTTAACTTAATAATAAACTATAATTAGAAACATTTTATATTAATGATTTGGTAATTTTTGTCATATGATTTAATAAATAAAATTTATTAGATAATTATATATTACACAAGGTTTTAATAATATGTCTAATTGCATATACTGCTTAAATGTATAAAATACTTGTCCACAGATCCTATGCATATAAACAGTATCAACTGTATAATCTAAATAAATTTAATTAATAAATTTGCTAATATAATAGTAAAAGAAAAAAAAGTGATAATAAGGAACAAAAAAAAGGGTATATATAATAAAAACTAATACATTACAGAAAATAAATACTAATACTAAGAAATATAAAAAACTAAACTAAAAACCTAAAAGAAACTATTGCTAAAAAGAAGAAAATCTGCTAATTAGACGAAACTTCTAATTATACAGAGTAACAATTTACTATTAAGTGCAAGAGTCTTGACAAAAATATAATACTATAATAAAATACACTATAACTTGTGTTAGAGGCTAAAAATTATATACAAGGAACACGTTGTATATCTTAAAACACTTTACTTTTCTTATTAAATCTATATTATCATTCAAAAGTATAAGGGCTTTAAAAACTATACGTGACTTGTTGTTATCATTTTATTCATTTTATAACATATGCCGATTTGTCATCATCTAGTTTTTTAATATACTGTAGAAGTGATAAACAATGCTGATTTTTTGGAGAGTATAAGCCGAATTTCTTACTTTTTATTAAAAATTTTAGAGCTAAAAGATGGTAAGAAAATATCGAGTTTCTGCGAGTTTTCTAACTAAGAAGTGTTGTTCTAAGAGTTCTTCAAAGTCTTCTATTTTCAAACCAACTTTAGTTTTCTTTCTACTTGCTGTTTTCAGAAACTTCTCCAGTTTGGATGCCAAATACAAAGGTAAGTCTACTCAAGAGATAGCAGCAAACTAGGCTTGATCTCTTTGTAAACTGTCCAAAACACCCACTTCTCAGTATATTATATTTAAAGGCTTCGTTAACAACAGTTTATATCAAGAAAACTTCAAGTTGTTGTTGACTTCTAAGCTTGAATCTTCAACTTGCTTTTGGTATTAGGTTGGTATAAGTGATCATTAGGAAGAGTTGTTTTTATATAAACTTCTTATTGTAACTTAAAAATCCTTATAGTAATAATATAGTTATATCTAGATTATATCCTCTCTTTTTTTCAGAGCATTTTTGGAGATATAACTAAGATAAAGATATAACTCAATATATAAAATATATAAAAATATATAAAAAAGTGAAAATTTGTTTTGCTTAAATATAAAAAATAACCCAAGTTGGGATATAACTCAGTAGTAATATAACTTAGATATAACTATATTAATAAATTATAAATTAATTAATATTATTTATATATTTTCAGTTTCTAAAGATTTCTATATACAATAGCACTCTTTTTAATGATCACTTATATCAACCTAACTTCAAAAGCAATTTGAAAACTCAAGCCTAGAAGTCAACAACAACTTGAAGTTTTCTTGATATGAATTGTTATTAACAAAGTCTTTAAATATAATACACTAAGGAGCAGGCATTTTAGACAGTTTGTAATGAGATCAAGCCTAGTTTTTCTGCTATTTCTTAAATAAACACCTCTTTGCATTTGGCATCCAAACTGGAGGAGTTTTTAGAAACAGCAAGTAGAAAGAAGGCTTAAGTTTGTTTAAAGATAGAAGACTATAAAGAACTCTTGGAACAAAACTCTTTAGTTGAAAATTTGCAAAACTCAATATCTTCTCACTGTCCTTTAGCTCCAAAAATTTTGACAAAAGTGAGAAATTCAGCTTATTCCTTCCAAAAGATCAATATTGTTTACTACTTCTATATTGGAAAATTAGATGATAACAAATCAGCATATTTTACGAAATGAATGAAATAATAACAACAAGTCATATAGAGTTTTTAAAGTCTTTATACTTTTGGATGAAGATATGGATTTAATGAGAAAAGTAAAGCAAAATGTTTTGAGATATACAATATATCTCTTGTATATAATTTTTAGCTTTTAGCACAAGTTATAATGCACCTTGTTTAAGTTTTTGTTAAGACTCTTACACTTAATAGTAGATCATTACTCTGTATAATTCAGTCAGAGGATTTATCAAATTAGGAAATCAGGATCTAGAATAATCTGTGCATAATTCTTTGATTTGATTGGCTCTTGCACACTTCTTGGTCAGCATTTTTCAGGAATTTTTTATACACCTAATCTATTATTAAAAACTTACAAATTGATATCTTAATAGATGATAAAAGACTGATAGTTTCAATAATCAAAGATAATCAGCGCTGATTAACTCTTGTCAAAAAGGTGAATGAGACTCAAAAAATTGCAAGATTTTATGTATATTTAAGAGGCCAACGTACAAAAATTCAAGAACTTCAATAGCTAAATGATAAAAGATTATAGTTACTTAATTAGTTTTTATTATTTAGTCTTGTTAATTTTATTTACTTCTATAGATCTTAACTATTAAATATAGAGATCATTTAAGCTACTCAAGCTAAGTATTTTAATTAATCAATTATACTTGGAATTAAGGTGAATATATATACATTATATTAAAAAAAATTTTAATAATGAAAATGTTTAGCAAGTTTATCATTGTCACTGATTTTGTTTAATATTTCTAATTTAATTTATATCTGCCTAATTTAATTTTAGAATTATGAAAAAGTATTTTGTACTATATTGCTTCAGAACTAAAGTTAATTCACAGAAGAGATTTATACAACAAAAATATTTTGCAAGATTATTTGTATAATGCATATACTACTAATCTTGGACTTTCTAGAGAAGTGAAGGAAGGTTGTAGAATTCTGCCGTTTATAGCACCTGAGGTTTTGATGGGTCTCAAGTATCAGATATTTACAGTCTTGAAATTATTATAACAAGATTTCAACTAGACAAAGAGCATTTGATAAAATTTTATTTGATATTAATCTTGTATCAAAATCTAAGTGTTTAGGATCTGATTATTATATTAAATTATCTATGAAATATATAGGGCCTTTGAAATTAGAGCTTGAAAATCTTGGGCTAAATCGTTGAATTTCCAAAGATGGTCAATAGAAATAGGGTCTTTGCCTTGAAAATTACCTTTTGACATTTCTGATCAGGTTAATTCAGATAAAAATAAACCTGAGTACCGGTTTATGTTTATATGTAAATCATAGTTTATCGAATTATTATTGAATCAATAAAAGTAAAAGATGATTAACATATGAGCATGAATTGGCACTCTGGTTTATTTTTGTCTGAATTAACTTGATCGGAAATGTCAGAAAGTGATTTTCAAGACAAAGACCCCAAATGGGTGAAATAATCATAATAGTAAGCAACCTAATAAGTTACAGGTGGCTTGGTTGTTTTTTAATTTGTTTTTAAAAGAAACATAGGTAACTTCTAAAATGAGTTTATACTCTTTAGTAAGTATAAGTTGGGTTATAGTTAGAGTTTTACCTTTGTTTTACTACTCTGTTCTTGATTGTATAGCGATAACTTCATTCAGGTACTTGAGTCGAGATTTATGATTGAAGAGTGTAGAGCTTTTAGATAAGTTTTATATTGTCTTTAGGTTGTTTGCATTTCTTTTATACTAATATAAAATTTCTTTCTTTTTATTTTATCTTTTTTTAGTACTCTTTTATAGTATAATATTTTGAATAGACTGGATCTTTGAATCATAAAACTATGAAGTTGAATATAGTAATAGTACTTAGTTTCAAAAATAAGTGTTGTATATTTTACTGTTTATTGTTTTTACTTTTAAATGGTTATTACTGAAGTATAAGTGAGTTTTTAGAATATTTAATAAAAACTTTCATTTCATTTAATCTGATTTTATTATGATTCGCAATATTAATTATCACTATAAGATATATTAAAACAGTATATTAAGAATATAAAAATAAAAATTTTAGAAGTTAAAAAAATTTTTTTTAATAATATAGGTGATCTAATATGCATATACACCTTCATATTTATATAGATATTTAACTTTAATATTGCAAATTTATTCTTATGTTGGAAAGATTTTCTGAACAATAGATATATATGTTTAATAAAATTCTTATACCTAAAATTGTATTATCAATAAATTTATAATTTAAACTTATTTGTCATTGATATGTCAAATTTATATCTTTATTATTCGGAGAGTTCTCAAATTAGGAATTAAGATCTATACAATTTGATTGGCTATATGCTTACTTTTGTTTGCCATTTCATCGTTAATAATAAAAAATCTTTGAATATATAATATTTAACCTCTAGATTTAATAATCAAAGTTAATCAGTTGAGTTTCAATTTATTAGCCAAAGTAAATGAGACCTCAAATTATGCATTTGTGTATAGTTAAGTACATATAAAAGAATATAATTTTACATTGCAATTTTTTTTCTTATAGTGTCTACTTACTAAAGACCTAAAGCACATATTCTCAAGTACATTTTTGCTGATTTTGTTGAGCACTATAAAGCATTTTAGTTGAGATTTTGCGAAACTAGTGAATTACAAACATGACGATATGCTAATAGTACAAATATAGCTTAGAATCTTTTAAAATATCATGATTATATTCTTGAACTTGTTAAACGTTAATCTTTAACAAAATATTCAATTTGTCAGATACATTACAACTAAGTAATTAATACTAATCAGTTTTATCAGCATATTATAGGTTTTGATTAAGAAAATAAAAGAACCTGACTTGACAAAAATAATTTAGATATTGCTAGTTATATTGATCCAGCAGTTGAACTAATCAAACTAAAAGGCTTTTAGAATTAGTACAAGTAGAAAATCAGCAAAAATCACAAGAAATAATAACTCTCAACAACCAAATAGTACAAATGTAACAGTATATAAAAGATGAAATTAAGATGTTAAGAAGCCAATTACAAAAAGCTCATAATGAAATTATTGAAATTCTGAATTTATATTCTGAACAATATAAGTACAAAGATATTCTTATTAAACAGAAGAATTCAAGAAATGCTAATCAACAAAAGCGTATTGACGCAATCATTGAAATAGCAAATGCAAAGTATATATCATTTTTTGATGATATGAGAGCATTAATTCAAGATAAAAATATATTCTCTATAAAAAATATTGTATTATATAGTCCCTGTGAGTGGCTTAACAAAGGTAATCAAGTTGTTGTTAAATTTATTAAAAATCTTGTTAAAAATAATAGAAATACTGATATTTTAAGTCAGGAAAAGCTTTTTAAAATTGCTGTTATAGTTGATTCACTATATGGTGCATGACATGAAAAATATGTATCAGAAATTCAGCTTGCTCTTTTAGCTATTAAGTATTCAATTGCATGATCAAAGATGATTATCAATATTGATAATCATATTACAAGTTCAGAAAGTTATAATCAGTTTCAAAAGTGGATAGAAGAATTAGCAAGATATAAAGAACTATTATCTAAAGGTTTTTTGTTTTTTGCATTCAATAATGAACAATAGGGACAGAAAAATTATCTTGATCAAGGATTTAATACTGTGATTTATTATACTGTTACAAGTTTTGTTGTTTTTAATATATCATTACAAAATAGAATTCAACATACTACTAATTTGCCTTGGGTATATAATTCTCTTAATATTTTACAATATGATGAACTTTTTGAAGTTAGTTCACAAATGCAAGAAGTTGTTGATGAAGAATTATATAATTATCTTGATAATCTTTTAAATTTATTATCTCAAGAGAAATCATCCTTTACTAATATTATTAATTCTTTTGTAGCATCTACAGGAATTAAAATTACCAATATGAAAGTATGTTCCAGCTATCATAAACAAGAAATTAAAAATCGAAAAAAAATTGCCCTAGCTGTGGAACATAATTACCTACATTAGCTAAACTTCAAAAAGAAAATATAGTTGAAGAGGAAATTAGTAAGGCTGACAATTTGCTTGTTTTTAGGCTATATAGTTTTGATAATAAATCAAGTTTGAATTCTACTAATTTTTCTAGAATCAGTATTACTTAACGACAAATTATTGATCAAGGAATTAATATTCCTAATATTTATATTCCTGATCTTAATTCAATTACTAATATTGAAAAAAATTTTTACATATAGAAACAATTACAGAAATTAAAAAAACTCGCAATTGGATAGCAGTAACTAGTAATAGTGTTCTATACTATCATGCTCTAAAATTAAAAGAAAATTTCTATGGCTAATTCTTATTTTAGGGCCATTACATGAAGAAATAAATATGCTACAGGCATTTATAGAGTTAAACTAGTTACTTATTAGTTTTATATAACTACTGTATTACAGATTTTATTATTAAATTAATGTTTTTAGTTGTTGAATATTAAAGTATGCAGAGGCAAATTAAAATATATTAATTGATAATCTGTGAATCATCAGAGAAAATGATTTACATTTACTAAATAATTTTGACGCAAATTAATTAATGAAAATCCTGATTTATAAATTTAAAGTTTTTTTGTACATATCTATCTATAAAATATGTAAATTGATAAGTTTGAAACAATAGTAATAAAAGTCTTGCTACTATTTAGTAAACTTGTTTTATTAGCTCGCTAACCACTTAAGAACTAACTAAACCCGCCTATTAATTAAGATCTAGTATGTCTAATATTTAACTTACTGCTTTTAAAAACCAAACCCACTGCTTGTATAAAACTTGCCTATCAACAATCACCTAACATTTTTACTGCAAAATTCCAAAAACTATTTTTCCGAAAGATATAATACTAACTAAATTAGCTAGCATTATAATTAATACCAGCTAACTTTGTTGGTATTAGATCTTTCTGGGAATTTGTCTTTCAGAATTTTGTAGTAAAACCTGACCAACCTATTCATTAGTTTAGAATCAGCTCATTTGTAGTTTAGAACCACTAGAACTAGTCTAGCATTTAACTTAATTCACCCTCTAGTTTAAAATCTATAATTAAATATATGTAATTAAAACAAAATTTAAGTTGATTCGGCATTTTAAGATTACGTTGAGATTTTTTAGTATAATTATTCTAATATATATAATTAAAAAAAAAATAAAATAAATAAAGTTCAAATTTTAAAATTAGTAGTTTATATTTAAGAAACAATTTTTATTTATTTATTTTTCTTTATTTTTACATACTCCAATGAATATAATATTATATACTTATTCTAATCAAAACTATATAATTCAATATATAATGAAACTTGGTCCTTAATTAAAAAAAGAATCTTAATATTATCTTTAATCAAAACACCAACCTTACTAGAGTTTGGATTCGGTCATCCATTTTTACATTAAATTTAATAGATATTCTATGGATTTTACTATTAAATTTGTATCCAACAGATAATCAGATCCTAATTCTAAACCTTACATAATCCTTTCACTAATTGAAATCAACAAATCAAAAAAAAAAAAGTAAATCAAAATCACAAAGCAAGATCAAAAATACTGATTTATCATTGTGCAATGCCTTTCAAAATTGATTTATTCGCATTAATCATATTATTTAGTCTACAAGAGTAAAAATCATTATCAATTGATGGAATTAAAATCAGCAAATTAATCAAGAACATAAATACTTACAGTATTTACTATCTCACAATGCCTTCAAATAATTTCTACAGATCGAATAAAGGCAAATCAGGCTCTAACTGGAATAATATAATATGATATAAACCTTATTTGAAACAGATATTGGCAAAAATAGGAAACATATAGGTTGGTTTGGGTTGATCCAATCTTCAATCTACTTTACTAAATTAGACTTACTCTAATGTTTTACTCCGGGTTGCTTCAAATTTAAAGGCATAATTTTAAACCCACTCCAACTTGGGTTGGGTTCTACTCCAGAGTGCTCCAGAATAAGCTACTCTATTAACAACCCTATCTTTAGAACATTAATTGGGCTTATATAGGTGTTCAATACATACTGAGCTCAATTGGTAAATCAATAAAGCTATTAGGCAAGCTTTATCGATTTACTAATTGTGCCTGATATGTATTGAACACTTATATGAACATGATTAGTGTTCTAAAAGTCTCTT